ATAAAGCACTATCATGGTCCCGCCACCTAATTTTCTTGCCTCAATGTGGAATTGATTCTCTCTTTTATCTGTTAGATGGTTGCAATGAAATTTTTTCATTTCATTAGCTAATGCTTACAATAATTATATAACTTATTTTTATTTTAATATTTTAAAAATATATCATTAACATTTTGTTCTATAATTATTAGATGATATAATGGAAATATTGTAATCGAACTCCCCTAAAGTAATAGTCAAAATTGGAGGTGGTTTCCCTTCAATTCAATATTAATTTAGCAGAGAGTTCAGTTTAAGGTTAAGGTATTATAGGCCCATCTCGAGTCTACCTTGATGATCTGACCAATCGTCTCTCGAGTTGAGCATTCATGGGGGAAAAAAAAAATCAATAATTAATTGTTTGCATCACGATCATTTTTGAAAAATAAACCATTTGCTTTTTAAAAATAATTATGATCTAAGCATATGGCTTTGTTTGCTCTAAGCATGTGTCTTAATAATAAAAAAATTAGTAATTTAACATGTAACAAAGTTGTCATCTTTTTTTTTGATCGGCAACCAAAATCTTTATTGATGGAAGTATACAAAGAGAATACAGGACATCAATAAAGAGGAGCTTGGAGCTAACTGAAGCTCCAAGCGCCAGTTGGTGAGAAACCAACAACAACACAGAAAAGAAGCAAAAGGAAAGCAAATAGGAACACAAAACTACACCCAAGCCAACACCAAGCCACACTTCTAGCAAATGAGGCTTAATGAACATAACCACTGCTGCAACACCCAAGATTGCAGATTAGGCACCGAAGCTATACAGTGCAGCAGTCCCGAGCAAAACACCCACTGAAACCAACAGCCAAACTTTGGTTTCCAAAACAAGAACACTGCAGCTTCCTCACTAGACAACCGGTTGATCACAGAAACAGAACAAAGAGAACAACCACCCCATGCTGGTGAAGCATAACAGACTGGATTTACACTGGCTTCAGGTAACCAACCAACTGTGGCACACAACACACAAGCATAGCAGACAAGATAATAGCAGCCAAATATGTCAGTAAGACATACCATCCAATCTAGAAGAACTGTATATTAGACATTTATGTTAAGATAAAAGAATGCCATCCACCAAAAAACTGATGCATTACATCCTCCCACCCAAACATCTTCTAATTTGCACCAGATTATACACATAATTAGTGATTGGATAATGTACACCCCTTGAATCAGATTTCAGCCAAATTGTAGTCCTAACTGCAATAGTTTCATGCAGCTCTTCCAGGTTAGGTTGGACATCTTGGAAAAGGCATTCATTCCTATGCTTCCAGATTGACCACAAAGCCACCAAAGGGATTGCATCCCAGATTCTCCTTTCAGCTTTGGTGAAAGTATTACCTGCCCACCACTGCAAAAGTTCTGCAACAGATCTAGGTGTCACCCACTGAGCTCCCCACCACTGCAACAAACCAGCCCAAACTCTCCATACCTTAGGGCATAAGATTAGCAAGTGTTCTACTGTCTCCTGGGATTGTTTGCAGAACAGACATATAGTTCCAGCACTATCGTTCAGCACACCTATTCTGTGTAGAAAAACAGAAGTTTTCACCTTATGCTTCCAAGCAAGCCAACCGAAAAATTGAACTTTAGGGGGGAGGTATTTAACCCACACCAATCTACAGGAACTCATTACTTCTCCATGCTGTAAATCAGTGTATTGATGCAGGGTTGAGACGAATGATTGCCCTGATTTAGCTGCTAACCAAACTGCCATATCCGGAGTATGATAGTTCAAACTCAACATGGGGCCTGCTGAGATAGATTGAACAAGTATATTAAGCTCCTCTTGTTCCCATTGAAATAGAACCCTCCTAAATCTAAACACCCAATTGACAGAATTTCCTGTTCTAGCCACAAAGGTCCATAAAGGCTCAACCTTATCAGTTGACAATCTGAATAGTCTAGGAAATAAATCCTTAAGGCTGACTGTTCCATTCCAGCAGTCATGCCAAAAGCTTACTCTACACCCATCTCCCACTTTAATCTGCAAATTATTGACATAAAATTGTAGGAGGCTGGCCCTTTGATCTGCTACTGCCAAAATATCACCCCAAATTTTGGAACATCTTGTGGCTGCTGTAGGCTCTGGAAGCCAATTCCCACCTTTAACTTTGTATTTGCTACAAATCACCTTCTTCCATAAGGCTCTATCTTCATTAGCAAACCTCCACCACCACTTGATTAATAAACACGCATTCATATCTCTTATTCTTCTAATACCCAACCCCCCTTGCTTAATGCTTTTTGTTACTTCCACCCATTTTACTAAATGAACCTTCCTTTTTAAATCAGATCCACCCCATAAGAATGAGGCTTGTAGTTGTTCAATTTCTCTTGCTATCCCTTCTGGTACCTTGAACAGAGAGAGGTAATACACTGGCAGGCTTGAGAGCACTGCCTTGATCAAAGTTAGCCTCCCTGCATGTGATAGGAATCTCCTCTTCCAGCCAGCAAGTCTGAGCTTAATCTTGTCAATAACAGGTTTCCAACTCAGCTTCTTATGAGGGCTAGCACCCAATGGCAATCCAAGGTACTTCAATGGCAAAGATTTTGATTTGCAGTTCAGCATTGAGGCAAACTCACTGAGCCCAGATGCAGAGATGCCACACCCACACACCATGCTTTTATGGTAATTTATCTTGAGCCCCGAAGCAATTTCAAAACACCTTAAAATCCTTTTTAAATTTAACACTTCTGAGCATTCAGCATCACAGAACAACAGGGAATCATCTGCAAATTGGAGGTGAGAAACGACTACACCATTAGCACCAACTGCTACTCCTTTCAACAGCCCCAACTCCCTAGCTCTCATAAGTAATATGTTCAACCCCTCTGCAGCCAGATTAAAGAGGAAGGGAGATAAAGGATCCCCTTGTCTAAGGCCTTTTTGGGGACAAAATTCCTTAGTTGGTGAGCCATTCACAAGTATTGAGATACGAGTTGAAGATAGACATTCTTTTATCCATGAAATCCATTTTGATCCAAAGCCAAAGCTAGATAGCATTGAGAGCAAGAAGTCCCAGTTGAGAGAGTCATACGCCTTCTCAAAGTCGATTTTGAACAATAACCCTCTTCTCTTGGTTTTTTTCCACCCATCCACAATTTCATTCGCAATCAATACTCCATCAAGTATATTCCTTCCTCCCAAAAAAGCTGATTGAGCTTTACCAATAACAGTTGGCATTACCTTTTTAAGTCTACTTGCTAAGACCTTGGTGAGTATTTTATAGGCTGACCCAATTAGGCTTATTGGCCTATAATCATTCAGAGTAGCTGCATTCACTTTCTTTGGAATAAGTGTAATGAAAGAACAATTGGTGTATATATATAGTGATTGTTTGGGAAGAAGAAGTTAAAAGATTATTAAAAAAATTTTTAAAAAAAGGGCAAATTACCTACACCTTCTTTGAAATTTAGTTAAATTACAGATTCCTCCCTGAGATTTAAGAAATTACATTCTATCTCCTGAGGTTTATATTCGCATAACAATTTAATCCCTACCGTTAACTAAATGTTATGAATGGTTAGCTGACATCACCAAAATATAAATTGATGGACGATATTGTACCTGTTAAAATCTCTTCAATAAATCAACAAAATTTACAAAAGAATTACGTTAGATAGGAAAAAAAAATTAAGTTTTTTGAACCATGTTAACAAATTTCAGTATTTAAAAAATAAATAAAAACTAATTTAATAAAAATAAATATGAAAAACTATATTTAATTTGTAAAAATTATCTAACCACTCAAAAGATAAAATTATATAAAAATAATAATAATTTCTTATTTTTTATTTCTTAACCAAATTAATTTTTAATTTTTTTAAAAAAAATTTAAAAATAAATTTCTAAAAATCAAACCAAACATATTCTAAGAATTTTTTAACAATCCATTTCTTGTGTTTATAACTTTATTTAATTATTTGTTAATTTTATGATATTTTCATCATCTAATACTACAACATATAAGAGTTTTAGAGACTAACTTTTTTGATCTCTAAAAGTAAAAATTTTGTTGCAAAAGATATTTAGGGACAATTATTATCGTCGTGAGGATACTCGCTAAAAAGTCGCCCTGAAAAGTTAAAAATAAGGCTTTTAACGATAAAATTTCGAAAATATCAATGATAAATAGACTTTTAAGGACAAAATAATTTGGTCTCAAAATAGGTTATTTTTTTAGACAAAAAATTTGATACCAAAAAGATAATAATTAATCACTAATGTTCAATTTTCATTGCTAAAAATATAATAACGACAACTTTCGCAACAAAAATATTTTGCCTCCTAAAAATAGTTTTGTCTCTAAATTTTGGTCTCTAAAATTTTAATTTTTTGTAGTGTGATAAGTGTTTTTCCATTTTAATTTTGCATTTCATAACTTATTTAAAAATGATAATTTAGCTAAATCTCAGGGGAAATCTGTAATTTAGCTAAACCTTAGAGGAGAATCTGTAATTTTGCTAAACGTCAAGGGGGTGTAGGTAATTTGCCCTTATTTGTCAAAACGGAATTTTTGTCAATTTATGATACCTGTTTACGGCGTTAATTGTGATGGGGCGGGATATAATTTTTGAAATCTCAGGAGAGAATCTGTAATTTCATTAAAACTCAAGAGAGGTGTAGGTAATTTCCCCCCCTCCCTCCACAAAAAAAAAATATTAAATAAAAAGACATAAATTTCTTCATTTATCTCTACTTTTTGTATTTTTTCGGTAAAAAATCAAAAAAAAATATTTTTCAAACATTTTTTATACATTCATCTCATATTTTAGTAAAAACTTACTAAAAAAAACTACTTTCCAAATGAACTTATAATTTACATACAATTATTGTGCATACACAAGTGATTATGTATAGTATATTATATGACCAAAATTTTTTTATTCAAATTTTAACTCGTTCAGTAACAAAATTTTGATTTCGTCGTCCCTGCATCAGGTGAATGAACCTGACCCAGGAGGGTTCTTGTTCAGGGCTTGGATGCTGCCAAATGCAAATCCCTAAGGGTTTTAAGATCCTAAATATTACTACTCGTTCGGTGTATAATTATAGCTATGCGAGGAACTTCAATCCCTGCAGCTATGCATTCTTAGCAAGGGAAGGCTGGTATCCCTCGAATCTTACTAACGTCGACCAAGAGGTGCCGACAATACTCAACTGGACTGTAGGAGAGCAAACATGTGAATCCACTGATCCATCTTCCAAAGTTTGTGGACCTAACACTAACTGTGTCAACTCTGACGATGGCCCTGGATATCGTTGTGTATGCAAGCTTGGATATCGTTGTGTAGGCAACCCCTACCTTTCTGAATCTCAAGGATGCCAAGGTCAGTTTACTCATTTCATATACTTTTTACATAATTATTTACAAATTCGTCTCATTTCCCTTTAAGCTCTCTAAGAGCATCCTCAACAGATTTTTCAAAATTTTATCTTAAAATATTATTAAAAAAATTCATTTCTTATTTTAGGAACTAACATGTCACTCGTGCTATGCACGATAAAATAATATATTGTTTAGATAATTTTTTGTATTTTATCTCTTTTAAATAAAATTTTATATATAACTTTAAGAGTTTTGTTTTAAATATTCCTTTACTATAATATATAGTATAGATAAATTAAAATTGTTGTATTGACAATTAACAATTAAAATAATGCTTTATTATAAAAAAAACAAATGACATAGTTCTAATGTTTCACTATTTTAGAATAAAAATATATTAATTTAAAAAAATTAGTATATTGGTTTTTGGAAGGAAAATAATTAAAGAAATTTTATAAACTTAATGAGTAAGAAAGAATTATCGTAATACGTAATTTAAAAAAAAAACAAGTTAAAAAATGAATAAAGACTTTAAAAAGATGTGATTACAATTAAAACTAATGTCATATTTATTAATAAGTATAATTTTATTTAGATATCTATTTATACTTTAACATGCTTATTTAAAACAAAATTAAAAATTAATAAAATTATTAATAATTTTGAGTTTTAAAATATGATTTTGTAGACTTGCTATATTAACTTTTGGAAGGAATATATTGTAATATTTTTACAAAAATTGAATATTAGTCATTGAAGAAATCTTATAAGATTTAAAATAAAATTTATAATAGGAAAAAATTAATGATATTGCAACATATGCATTTTAACAATTTTAAATTTCGAAAAAAAAAAGAAGTAGATTAGGACTTTGAATTTCAATTATCGTATAACATTTTTATTTATATAATAATATAAATAAGGATAGGTAATAGATTGATTAAAATTAATTATAAATATATCTATATTTACAATGATATGGTTTGTATAGCTATATTTTAAATTCTAAAATTCATTTTTTAACTTCCTATATAAAAAGATTCAAAATTTTAAATTACATATAATTTTTTTCTAAAAACATATGAACTCATAGTAAAATAGAGAGAGAAGTACCATAAAAAAAGAGATGAGCCATACATATTAAAGATAAATAATTAAATAATTGACTGATACCTTTATTAGTTTTGAAAAAATTGATTAAAATTAACATTTTTTTTTATAGCTTTGAAAAACTATTATATGCCTTTAAAATAATACAATGCACTAACTGTCAATTAACACATATCAGGATATCAAAACACCTATATTGTTTTTGTTTTGCTTTGTTCCGCTCTGCATGTTGGTTTCTCACCAACTTGGAGTTTTGAGTGTGTGCTAGCAGATGATTTGGTGTGTATCTAGGTGCCAACCTAGTTGGGATCTAAATGTTTCACTTTGATGCGTTTTGCACCCTCTTCTTTATTGATGTATGTTATCATACTCGTTATATTTTTTCATCAATAAAATTTCTTTTTTGCCGATCAAAAAAATATTAAAGTAAGTTTTTTTTAAAAAAAGTAATTAATGATATACAAACATAAAATCAATATAAAAAATTTATTAATAATAATTTTGTTTGGATTTTGATCTATTACTCTATAATGAATGACATGTTTTTTATTATACAAATGACCCTATCACGTCATTTTAGTATAAAAATTCTAGTAAACCAATATTACCTAACGACAAATAGTTATAAACAAAAAACAGATAATGGTTGGTAGAGAGATGAGGGAGAAATGACACATAAAATATATAATACAAAAATTAAAAAAAAAAAAGGTCATAGATAAAAAGAAGAAAAAAAAAAGAAAAAGAAAAAAAGGTGTACCTGAAAGATAAAAGAGTATGTTTAAATAATACAATAGATTAAACATAAACTAACCTCCAAATTGTCTCATCAAAAAAAAGTTAAAAAACAATGAGTTTCATGGCTCCATGAATGTAATATTTAAAAGGCGAGGAAGACATAAATGGCTTGAAATAAGTATAATGTATGATAGTTAGAATTTTTTGATAGAAGAAAGAATTGGTTAGAGAAAGAGTGCACAATAATAATTTTTTTATCTTTCCTTTTCTAAATTATAAATCATGGAATCATTATTAAAAATAATAAATTATGAGATTTTAAAAAAAAAATTATATATAGTAATTATAACAAACTAACTATCTCTAACAAACTACCTAATTATACATGTGCAGGACAGCAGTTGCAGGTACAGAAGTGGATAGCTGAGCTGGGTGAGCTTCTTGAACTATTTGATCTTGAGACTTAGCTAGAGGCTTAGCAGCAACAACAGAGTCTTTATCATAGATATGCCAAAATTTATTTGGGAATAAAATTGTGTTTAATTATATAATGGAGAGAGAATCAAGATATAAGGTTTAATTTTTATTTTATGTTAGGTTTAATTTTATGTTTATATAGATTAGATCAGTTGTGAAAGATATTAATAGTATACATTTTATGAGAGGTGAGAGAGTTTCTTTTTCATTAGATTTATTTTAGGAGAGAGAAGATTGTATGGAATTTATATTCTTTTTAAATAAAAGCTTGATTTATTTTGAGAAGAAGTGGGAGGTTGAGAATTGTGTGCTTTCTTTCTTTCTTTCTTTTTTATCGGCAATATATTTGCATTAAATAATTTTGAAAGTTAATGTTTATATCATTGGAATAGCCAATAGATGTTTTAATTTTTTTTTTAATCAAAATCAAAAATTCAAAACATAAGATTTAAGGTTTTGAAACACTTAGGACCTCTAAAATGAAAAGTCACTTTAGTATAATATATACCATAGATAGATAGATTATGAGATTTAGGAAAGAAATAAATATTAGGAGAGAGATTTTTGGAATTTGTAATTCAATTATTATTTTTTAAATCTATAGTTACTTTGTTAGCCAATAATATTATTTTTAAATATTTTTGAAATTACAAAAATTAGCAATTTTAGTTTTATTTTTAATCTATAGTTACTTTGTTAGCCAATAGTACTATTGTTAAATATTTTTAAAATTAAAAAAATTAATAATTATGGTTTTAAGTTTATTTTAATCTATAATTTTTTATTTTTTTTTTGTAATTTGTGGTTTTTTTTTTTTTTTGATGTATAATATATATATTTTTTAATGTATAGTTACTTTGTTATAAGATGAGATTTAGGAAAGAGAGAAATATTGGAGGGAGGGATTTTAGTAATTCAAAATTTTAGGTGATTTTTTTATTTTTTTAATCTATAATTACTTTGTTAGCCAATAGAATTATTTTTAAATATTTTTAAAATCACAAAAATTAGTAATTGTGAAATGAGACTTTGGAGCTCTCACAAATCTTCTCACTAGAAATCCAATTTTCCTTATATAATGCTAGCGGTAACCTGTGCGATGCACGGAAAAATAGACTATATATATTTTGTGTGATAAATAAATCATCTTAATCTTAAATTATGTCTTAATAATGATAAACCATGATGTTAAGCTATCTAGGTAGATGTTAATAATAATTAACCCACAAAATTTCACAATAAAATTTGATATGCATAAAAAATTATTAATTATAAAAATTGTTGAGAATAATAGTATCACAATTACTTGATAACATAAATAACTTGTATCAAACTAAACAAAACATTAAAAGAGAAATTCTATAAACAGAGAAAAGTTATCATAAATTTACTTAGACTTTTAAATCAGCGGTGTATATTATTATTGTGGGATCAAATTATGAATAAATATCAACTTTTAATTATAATTTATAAGTAGTTTGTAAAAAAATTTAGTCTAAGTTTGTTGTCTTGCTCATAAAAAGAACTTCTTAAACAAATCATTAATTGATTGTGTTAGCAACTCTCTATCTTTGATTTCCTCTATTAATGACACACATATCATATCAAAGTATAAATCCTTCTTCATATTTTGAATAATACTTGCATAGTTCCTACATCATTTTAAAAAAATTAATCAAGATAAGAATTTCGTATGATTATAAAACTTATATAAGAAAATAGTTTTAATCCATTTTATTTATAAAAAGAAATGATGAAAAATTATTTGAATTGTACTTGAAGAAATATAACAAATGATAGCTTAATCATTATATACCAATATATATATATATATATTATATAGGTTACTTAACGAAAAAATGGTCGAATATAAATAAAGTTATGGGCATTGAATTAAATCATATGGGTTCTAAATTGATAGTATAATCTAGCAAATCAACTAATAATAACATAGAGAGGTTGACAAATATGTAGTACTTCCCTATCATCTTTGTATTATATTCATTAATTTCATATATCATATGAAAGTTTTACTCATCTCTATCCTTCAATAAAATGAGGACCCAGAAAACAAATTTAATAAGAAATTGATTCTAAACTTTATTATTGAAAAAACAAAAATTTTAAAGAGAGAATTTAGAGATGGGATTGAAGAAATACTATAACGAATGATAACCTTATAAAAAAAATAATAATACTAATAAAAAGCATAGCAATGATCTAATGCAAACTATTTTTAATAACTAATAGAAAGAATATCAAATTATTACCTTGGATAAATATAGTGACGAAAATTAATTTTGTGAGATTTTTGTGCTGCCTTCTCATATGTCGCCTTCATTATTTTATTATTAATACTCTTCTCATTCAGAGCCAACCAATTTCATTATAAATATTCTTCTCATTTAGAGCCAATGATTTTATTTATCTTTATCACTTGGTAGATAATAATGAATAATAAAAATTATCAAGAGAATGTTAAGAATTTAATATGAGATAAGAAGTTATACATAAGGACATTTCCATAAGATAAAAAATGTAACGCCCCCAAAATAATGTAATAAATCCAACTCGTGGACCGAAGAATAACAGAAATAAAATACTTTCATTCATCAGAGTTCGTATTACAAAAGATACCACATACAATATACATTCATAAATATACATCCTGAATCTATAGTATGTAGTACTAGTTAACAGTCAACCACAAATAAATGCCCCACAGGCACCTTTCCAAACATTCCTTGGTTACAACAAAAGAGAGTGAGATAAACTCTGTACATATAAAGCCCTCGGCTTGAATAAACAATTAAACACAAATAACAAAATAGAGCCTCCAGCTCCTAGCTCCTCCTAAGCTACGTTCTTGGAGGAATCATATCACCGGTACCTGAAAATGGTTTCCCAAGTAGGATAAGCCAAAGCCCAGTAGAAACATACTAACACAGTATATGAGAATTAACAAGATATAAGCCTGATGCACATGTTCATTGTCGTATGACAAAATCCGTGTTACTCTTTCCACAACCATGTTATATCAAAACTTACACCTCAATTTATTTATTTTGTTTTAATAGATACATCCACTGCATTTAATCCGTCAACAAAGGTTACACCTCACAAGTTTCCACAGATAAATCATCATTTAAATACATTAACTTCTATTTGTCATTTTACGGAAATTTCGTCCGCAGGAATCGGCACCCATGTATACAAATGGTTTTCGGGACTTTCACCCTAGACATATAGGCCAACTTAGTTCAATAGAGTCCATCCCCTTTCTTCTCATCAAAACATGAAGTTCATCTCATTTCTCCTCCCAAATATCATACATATACATGTATATCATTCATATCATATTCAATGATAATGGTTAAAGGATTGGTTTTAATTCGCCTAATTCACATACATTGTCTACAACAATGATGACTATCCTTCACCGATAGCTCAAAACAGTTATCTCTAAACAAATATACAATCTTTATAATAAATAATTCATCAAATTTCCATAGGTGAGTGATTAAAAAAATCCAACAACACCATGCACGTATACATCTCCCCAATTTCACATTCCTCATACCAACTTCATTATTTATACAAAATAATTATCCAAAACATTTTAAGGCAAAACTGCTCATTTTCCAAATATCAACCCAAATGCCAAAATCAACTATTTTGACACATGATAACCTCATATCCAAACCACAAAACCATTTATACAACACTCACATAGAAACCCCTCTTTTCAAACTTTAACCCAAACCCTAGATTTGCTCAAAACATCCCCAAAACTCACCATTTTCATATAACAACCTATAACCAAGTTAAAACTCATATTAAGGTGTAGAGAGTCCCTACCTCAAGTTTAGACGACTAATGGAGGAAGCATGAAACTCCAACGATGCCGAAACCAAATTTCAATCGGTTCAAAGTGAAACTCCTAAGATGCTCTACCCTTTTTCCAAAGACATTAGAACGGTGAGATCAACAGATCAAGGAGAAAAAGTAGAAAGAGAGAGAGAGAGAGAGAGAGAGAGAGTATTTTAGAGACAGAAGGTCTCACCTTAGGAGTTTTAGAAGAAAAGATCTGAAAAAGTGATGTAAAAAGTCATTTTTGCAATGTGATATACGCACAGTCCGCTCGAGCGAAAAAGTTGACGCTCGAGCGTCAGACATAATAAGTTGTTCTACTCGAGCACAAGAAGAGGCCCGCTCGAGCATAGAATACATACCTCCAGTACTTTTGCAAGCAACAGACAAACCGCTCGAGCGCAAGAAGGGACGCTCAAGCTCCCACCCGCTCGAGTGGTCGAGCGTAGGAAACGCCGCTCGAGCATGGAAAACACTCCTCCAGTATTTTTTGCAAATGTGCAAGTACTGAGGGTTTGCAAACCTCGCTCAAGCACAAGAAAGCCCGCTCGAGCGAAAGACCAAAATTCTGGGCAGCATAAGGTTTGAAAACTAAACAACCAATCTATTTCAAGCACACTCAACACGTCCAAATAAATAAATTTAAGAAGGAATAAAGAGTAAAAGACAATGAACGACACTCAGAAACCATAAGCCCGAGTCCAAACTACCACAAGTGCTGGGTCAAAATTGGGATCGTTATAAAAAAATTTAAAATAAAAAAGAATAATATGTGATAGAAGGAGAAAAAAATATGAGTAAATCAAAATAAAGATTTAGATATATATGTTTTTGATAGATATATAGATTAACAAATCATATCTTTATCTAAATTTTATTATTTTAATTTTTTGAAAATCAATTATTTAATCTTTATCTTTATTTGCAGGCCATGAAATTAATTTTTATAAGTTATTTATCAACTTTTATATGTTTATTTATGGGAAGAAATTTTAAATTATCTATAAGTTATGAAATTAATTTTTTTTTAAATTAATTGTTTAATTTTTATCTTTATCGATAGACTATAAAATTAATTTTCAATTTTTATATGCTTATCAATATGGAGGAAATTAGAAATTCAAATCTTTATCCATAAGTAATGAAATTAATTTTAATTTTAATTAATCAACCAAATAGAAAATGAAGAAAAATAGAAAACATGAAAAGCAATCAAAGAAGGTTGCCACGTAGGAAAGTGAGAGTTTTAAAATTATGAGAATGTAATTTAGTTTTTTTATATAAATAAAATCAATTATTTAATCTTTATATTTATTTGTAGGCCATGAAATTAATTTTTATAAGTTATTTATCAACTTTTATATGTTTATTTATGGGAAGAAATTTTAAATTATCTTTAAGTTATGAAATTAATTGTTTAATTTTTATCTTTATCTGTAGACTATAAAATTAATTTTCAATTTTTATATATTTATCTATATGGAGGACTTTTGAAATTCAAATATTTATCCATAAGAAATGAAATTAATTTTAATTTTAATTAATCAAAAAAATAGAAAATAAAGAAAAATAGAAAACATGAAATGCAATCAAAGAAGGTTGCCACGTAGAAAAGAGAAAATTTTAAAATTATGAGAATTTATGAATAAATATTTGGAGGCTTTTTGACAAAACAATTATATTTGGTTATATATATAGTATAGATAAATAGATATATATCACTTTTTCATTTATTTTTCACAACAAACTTTCTATTCTTTCTCTATTCTATTAAAATATTATTTTTAATTATTTTATATTTTATATTTTTGGGATGGAGGTGCTCGAGATCAATGATGATGGTTGAATAAAGGGTAATTTTTTTATTTTTTAGGGGTGAACAGTAGCTCCCTACATTTAGGGAGCAACTATAGCTCAACTTATAACAGGGGCTGGTTTAAGGGAATTGATGGGATTGGTTTTATGGGGAAAAAAAACCCTTAAAATAGCTAAAAAATGAAGATAAGGGATCAAGCAGAAGCGAGTTTTCATAGGGAGTTTTGTGAGAATTTCAAAATTTTATAACAAATTTGTGATTTTATCAAATTAAAAAATAAATTTATATAGTGTTGAAATTACAATTACATTCTAATCCCAACATTATTGCACCGTGCCTTCAGGCACAGACATACACTAATATATATATATTGAAATAATATAGTTAAAAAAATATTTATAAAATATAATTTTTTAATATTAAAATACATTAAAAGCACCAAAGGGTGTTTATAGCATTTTATATAGTTAATCCCCTCACTAAAATATATCACAAATAAACATAATTTTTCTTACTCTCCTCAACAACAATCTCCACACTAACAATCTCACTCAACTTAATTCCGAAAACAAACAGCTCCTTATTTTAATGATTTGAACTGTTAATTTTATAAAACTTTGAGTATATATTATTTATGGAAAAAAATTTAAATCTATCCGACATATTTTTTTCATTTTTATTTTTTACTTTTAATATATTTCTAAATTACAAGGACTTGAAAAATATAATATTTTAATACAATTTTTTTGTTTTTTATTAAAAATGTGTCCATTTTTAACAATTATCCAACGTAAATGAATCTTTTTAAACGAATATTTTTTCTCAATTGCCGACTAAATAAGTTGAAAACAAATTATTTGATTTTTTTTAATAAATAGCCAAAAAGTGACAAAAAATTATAGCAAAAAAAAAGAGTAAAAATTGAGTATAACAGTGATATATATCGATGATGTGGTATCATCAATACACAATAAACCCTATATACGGAGGGTGAAGCCCTACTTTATAAGTGCCACATTTATATAGGAGGATAAATAGTGAGATATTATTGATTGGTGACACCGATAACATGATATCACCATTGCATTAAAAAAAATTCAGAACGAAGACTTGAAATTTTCTAAGTTGATAAAAATTATCGTAGTCGCCACTGAAACATAGTGTTATGGTGAGAGTATGTGATAAATTATTTTTTGATGTTGCAGACATAGATGAATGCTTGGATCCAAAAATGTATCCTTGCAAAGGGATGTGTAAGAATACCCAAGGAAATTACACTTGTCACTGCCCACCTGGCATGTTTGGTGATGGCAAAGTCGCTTGCCAAGGATTTCGTGTTATTGCTCTCGTTGCAGGTACCCCTTTTTTTTCATTTTTTTTCCAGTAAAATAGGAACAATTTTATTGATGAAATTGGAAAATACAAGGTTTGAAATTACATCAATAAAGGGGAGGAAAGTGCAAAGAGCGTCATAGTATATCTCTCCAATCTCAACTAGGTTGGCATCGAGGAGAATACCTTATCATTTGCTAGCACTGACCTCAAATGTTGGTGAGAAACCTATTGGAAAAATATATAAAAACTCTACTTGATTAACAAATTGAAATGGATACAAGAAGATAAAGATAGTTAATAAATCAAGGATTTGATTAAACATATCCCTTGAATTATGAATCAGTCAAAATCCCTTGAATTATGAAACGGCTAGTTAATTCCTTAATCATAGTTAATTACAAAAGGAAATGAATCTTACAAAAAATCAATGAGGGAAAAAAAAAACATATATACTCCCTTCGTCCCAAAATAATGATATCTTTTGGAGAATCCAACTTTTTTTAGTATTACAATCATTGAACTTTAAAAACTTAAATTTCCAAAATTACCCTTTGATAGTACATTTTTTGGGGAGTATCAATGTCATAATTGTACTTTTTATGTTACTAATGAATTTAAAAGGAGGTCAAAATAGGAAATTTATATTATTTTTTTACTTGATTTTTGAAAATTGACTAGTATTTTGGGATAATAAAAAATAGAATGAAGGACTAATATTTTGGGACGAAGGGAGTATATAGTTTTTATTAGCTCACACGTGTGCCTAGCCCATCCAAGTCCAACGCACGTGCGTGTGTGTGTGTGTGTGTATATGGATTTCACACATATAGCCTAATGCTTACAGTCTCCCCCACATCCTTGGCCCTTATCCAATAACAAATGTCTACATATAAAAGGTGTAAGAAAACTAATAAGAAATCAGTATGGAACAAGGAACAAGAAGAAAATTTTGAAATACTTCCAACAATCCCCCATATGATTCAAAATAAAATAAATAATGAAGCAAAGAAAAACAAAATTGAGCTTAACTTGAGATGCATTGATGCTGATGTCTTGTGAACTTGAATCAACACTTTGTGTTTATAGAATGTAGATCACAGGTGAAAGGTGACTCAAGTCTTGAACATGCCACCTTTTGGATGATTTAACAATGCTACACATACCTCTAGTATTCATGACAAGTTCTTGAATTGGTGCCATAAAGCCATGCACCTTACCAGGATTTTCATGAGTGCTTTAGAGAATTAGCCCTAACTCTCATAGGAGGCGGCCCACCTCCACACTCACATAGGTGAACCCATCAAGTGTGTACTGCTTCACACCACCTTTACAGGCTATGAGTTCATTAAGAGCTATGTGCTCATCCTTATTTAGTTTAGCAACTTGTACTATTTTCACCATAGAGAGGGACGATCAAATAATAGTGTTGTCATGAGTCTCTTTGTGGGTTGTTTTTACCCATTGAACCTACTTCATGAGATCCCCAATTACTCGGGCTGGGTTGCCATCACAGGTGACTCACTTAATGGGCGTAAGTCCTATTCCACTCGATGTATCATACACCACTTTTCTATTTAGCTCTTTTGTCAGAGGATTTGCCAAGTTCTTCTATGATTGCACAAATTCAAGAGCTATTACACCACCATTTATAAGTTGTCTAACAATGTTGTGCCTTAGTCGAATGTCTCTCTTCTTTCCATTAAACACTTTGTTATTTGCCCAAGCTATTGTTGCTTGCGAATCACAATGCAATGAGATAGACAAGATTGGCTTATTCCGTAAGGGAATATCAGCTACATGATTCCTTAGCCATTCATCTTCACTACCTGTCATTTCTAGAGTAACAAATTCCAATTCCATAGTAGAAGAGGCTTTACAATTTTGTTTGGATGATTTCCATGATATAGCACCACCTCCAAGAGCAAACACATAACCACTGGTGGAATTAGTTTCATCATTATCTGAAACCCAGTTAGCATCACAAAATCCTTCTAATATAACGGGGTATCCTATATAGTGAAGACCTAGGTTCATAGTACCTCTCAGATATCTCAACAGTCTAGTTAAGGTTATCTAATGTTTACGGTTGGGATTGTGTGTGCATCTACTAAGTCTGCTCACAGCATATGCAATGTCTGGATGAGTACAATTCATTAAATACATCACATTACCAATGACTTTGGCATATTCAGATTATGGCGCGATATATCCCTTATTATTTTTAAGATGGTGGCTAGGATCATATGAGGTTTTAACAAGGTCAACATCAAAATGATTAAATCTTTTGAGGAGTTTTTCAACATAATGTGATTGTGACAACACTAAGCCAGTTGATTCATGGATCACTTTGATCCCTAAGAGAACATCTACCTCTCCTAAGTTCTTCATGTCAAAATTCGAAGATAGAAGAGCCTTGGTTTCATTTACAATGCATAAAGTAGTACCCATAATCAACATATCATCTACATATAAACATATAATCACACAAGAAGTACCAAAGCATTTGTTATAAACACAACTATCAGACTCGTTTACTACAAATCCATTTGATATTAATGTTTTGTCAAAAAAATTTATGCCATTGTTTAGGATCTTGTTTTACACCATACAAAGATTTTACAAGTCTACATACTTTCTGTTCTTGTCCTCGAATTACAAAATCTTCTAGTTGATCCATATAAATTTCTTCTTCTAAATTTCTTTTTAAAAATGCTATTTTTACGTCCACTTGATGGATAATTATTTTGTGAATAGATGTTATTGCAATTAACAGTCTAATAGTGAAAATTTTAGTTACGGAGGAATAGATGTCAAAGTAATCTACTCCTTTTTGTGTGTAGCCTTTAGCAACTAGTCTAGCCATAAATTTATGGGTAAATTAAAGTTTGCACCCCTGTACTTTGAAACAAATCTCACTTTGGCCCCTACACATGAAATCATGACAGTCAACCCCCTATACTTCTCGTCAAATTCCACTTTGGTCCCTCCACATTAAATTATGACAATAACCTTATACTTTTAATCAAATTTCACATTGGTCTTTACAAAAGTGTCAGTGTCCCATTTTTGTTTCTCAATTATTTATATCTTTAAAAGAATCTAGTTATGTGATAAAAATGTGACTACGACATGAGGGTAAGAAAAGAAAATCAATTTTCCATTAATACACACTTTATCCTATATTTTACATCAAAATATGACTGTATTAAGCTAAAACAAAATGCAGATTATGAACAATTAAGAAGATGAACCAGGGTTTTGCATAAGTTGAAATCATGAAATTCTGTTTTTTGCGATAACACAATCTTTTGCCCATTCATCTTTCTTTCTCTTTGATTTCTTTGTCGCATTTTTTTTTAATTTTAAAAGTTCTATTTTCGTTCTTTTTCATCCCAAATTTTTATCATACGGAGATACATATATATAGTATTATATAACTCTCATTTTTCTCTTTTACCTCCATTTTGTAGTCACATTTTTGTCATATGCCTGGATTTCGTTAAAGAGTTAAAAATGAAATAACAAAAAAGGGACATTGACACTTATGTCGGGACCAAAGTGGGATTTGAGTAAAAGTGCAAGGGGTTGACTGTCACGATTTCATGTGTAAGGACCAAAGTGGGATTTGACCAAAAGTGCATGGGGTTAACTGTCATAATTTCATATATAGGGGCCAAAGTGAGATTTGGTGCAAAGTGCAGGAGTGCAAAGTGTAATTTACCCTAAATTTATCTATTGATCCATTAGCCTTTAATTTTTTCTTAAACACCCACTTGCAGCTTGTGGTTTTAAATCCTTTAGGCAAGTCTACTAATTCCCAAGTATGGTTAGCCATTATAGATTCTAGTTCACTATTTATAACATCTTTCTAGAAAGTGGTGTCTATGAATTTAGGATCCTCTTCAGTGATAAATATAGTTACAAAATCTAGTTCGAGCCTAGTTTCCTCTATAGGTCTCTTACTACGTGTTAAATCTAGTGATGTTTCCTCAGTATTAAGACTAAGCTTAATAGCTGCACGAATTTGCTTAGGAATTGGTTGTTTCATAGGAAATATATGTTCAAAAAATTATGCATCTTTTGCCTCCATTATATTGTTAGCTTCCATAATATCTTTTACACCTTTTATTACAATAAATCTATAGATAGCACTGTTTAGAGCGTAACCAATGAAAATACAGTCTATGATTTTAGGACTAATTTTACTTCTTTTAATACTTGGAAGTCCAACCTTGGCTAGACACCCCCACACTTTAAGATATTTCAAATTTGGTGCATGTTTTTTCTAAAGTTTGTAAGGGGTTTTATGCGTTGTTTTATGTGGAACTCTATTTAAAATGTGACATTCTGAAAGTATTGCCTGCCCCCCACATATTAGAAGGTAGTCCAGAGCTAATTAGCATAGTGTTCATTATATATTTTCGTGTTCTATTTTTCCTTTCTGCTATCCCATTCTGTTCAGGAGTGTAAGGTGTTGCGGTTTCATGAATTATGCTATTTTGTTTACATATCAATTGAAGTTGATTGCTATCATATTCCCCTCCCCGATCAAATCTAACCCTTTTAGTTTTCCTATCTAGTTGGTTTTCAACTTTGGCCTTGTATTTCAAAAAATATTCAGTTGCTTCATCTTTGTTTCTTAACAAATATACCTTGGTAAATCTAAAATAGTTGTCTACAGAGGTTATGTAGTATCTTTTACCTTCTCTGCTCATATAATTTTTTTAAGTCCCCCAAGTCACTATGTATAAGCTCTAGGACTTCTGAATTCCTTTCTACAGATTTAAAACATTTCTTGGTAAATTTAGCTTCTACGCAAATTTCACACTTGGATGTGTCACAGTTTTTGAAATCTTGAATTAAATTTAATTGTCTCATTTTTTTAACCGAAGCATAATTTATGTGCCCTAATCTAGCATGCCACAAATCAATAGGCTTAACAATATAAGTAAGGGAAGTACTAGCTTTGTTAGCATTTTCAGAGACAACATTCAGCACAAATAAACCCCCATTACAATATCCCCTTCCCACAAAATCCCCATTACATGTTAGCACAAGTTTATTACAATCAAACAATAATTTAATACCAACCTTGTTATCCATAAATTAAATTTTTACACATATCCGACACATAAAAAGTGTCATTTAGGGCAAGAGTTTTACTGGAAGTGAGTTTAAGTAGAATATTTCCCTTACCAACCATGCGAGCAGGTAGAATTTTTTCCTTACCAACCACGCGAGCAATGTAAGCATTTACTATGCAAACATTTTCACCATCACCAACAGACTCATATGTAGCAAATATATTTATACTGCTACAAATATGGCAGGCAGCTGTAACGCCCCAAAATAAATCATAAACCCAACCAAGAACATATATAAATAACAACATGAATCAGAGTGTAATGTTCTTCTCATTTCATAGAGTTAATGGTACAAAAGAGTTTAGCACAAGTAAATGCCTTATAGGCTTACATAGTTCCAAGTCATGGCTTGGTTACAACAAAAGTAAGACTAGCTCAATACAAATAAAGCCCATGGCTATACAAAAGAAAGCATACAACAAAAGGAAGTCTTTGCTCCAAAGTCCCTCCAAGCTATTGCCTTGGCGGAGACATATCACCATCACCTGAAACTGATTTTTCCCAAGTATGGTGAGTCAAAACCCAGTAGAAACAAACTGACACAATATATGGATCTTAACAAAGATATAAGTATGAAATGCATATACAATTGTAGACAAGCCCGCGGGGGACCTCGCTACAGCTCGGACTCGATTCGTTGTCACGGTTCTTAATCTGAACCAAAGAGTTCAAATCTGGCAAATCGTTTTGAGAAAACTGATTTTTGAAAGAAGTGCCAAACATGGACTGCTTTGCCAGATACAGAGTCGCCACCTAAATATTTTATTTTGGGAAATTTAGGAAACCCTGACTCGGTGCCAAAGGCCACGTGTCTGTCATCACCAAAGTTGCCTCGGCTCGGGAACTTGGGTACGATTGGGGAAGGTCACTTCGTGAGCACCCCCGCTCGCCCGATCAAAGATCGGCCTCTACTAACCATGATATCTATTTTTGAAAACATTGTGGGTTCTTATTCCGGTTATTAGCCTAGGTTACTATGTGATGCGCACAACATACAAGTATAGACCAGGTCGCCTGAATTGGAACAAAACATTTCATGCTTGTTTATTTGAAAGACGGTTTGTTACTCGCAAGTAGGCTTAAAATGCAGATTTTGCCACTCGCAGGTGGGCTTAGAAAAGATGATTTTGCCACTATCTAGTGGGCTTAAAACAAACATTTGATGATTTATCCCAATCCAAGTAACCCAACCTTCACCCACAGGCATTCAGGCAGTTATATCACATAAGCAATTAGCCTCATGGTAAGCATGCTATTCATGGCAGTCACTCACACGCATGCAAGGATGCTAAAGCATAAAACTCACCGAGTACTCCAAGCCAAAACAGAGACTACATTAGAAATCATGCATGATCCTAAGTATACAGAAATGCCTAATGCAACACATACAAAAATGCAACTATAGCAGGCTCGGCTATTCTAAACATGGCATATGAAATGCTGCAAATAACATGTATTCGACTTTGAAATTGAAAATACAATGCAGTTAGTATGATGCGCCGAGCCTGGTACATGCAAAACAGATGAATGATGCAAACATGCTGTCATACTGTATGCTAACTGAAATATGCCCTAATCTAACCATCATAAGCAGGTAAATAAAATGGAAGAAAGACGTGGGGTTGGAAGACATACAACACACACACGCACACTTATTACAGTTATGCCCTCGCGCAGAGAGTCCGAATAAATATACAGTCCCAAATAAAAGAATATTACAGTCCAAATATTACAGTCCAAATAATATACAAATTCCTAATTAATTAACGAATTAACTAAGAAAACTGTAAAACTGGCATGCAAGCCAGGGATTGCCTTACTTCTGATGAATGATGTATGTCCGGGCTGCCTTGCGCGGAAATCTACCGGGATGCCCCAATTAGCCTCTGTTTAGCAGTTACTCTTGAAACGCGTGCCAAGTCCCGAAAAGTTGATGATTCTTCATTTTGCTGCAACAGAGAGCAGGAAAGGGGCATAGTAATGTATTTTCACAGATATATGCATGCCTCGATCCTCGTGCCACCAATCGCGCATACGGAGGCATGATGGCCGAGGAGTCGAATTGCACAACTCAATATAGGATGAATGCACATGAAAACACAACAAGACCTAACTCCATCATGGGTGATCCGGAGTGTTGGTGACTAGGAAATTGAGATACATTCCATCACTTGGAGTACGGAATGCACCTTGTTTCCCGTGCCCAGGCTAACTCCTATCCCGAACACGATGCAATATGCATGACATGCATGAAATGCAACTAAGATACAATCCTAACATACACAATGTCATAGAATGGCATACACGCTGCACGAGGTAATACACAACCGAGCATACACAATGCTATGGATGAAATGGCATACGCAATGCAATAATGGGCTTACACCAACATGAGAGAGCCTCAGCCACACTCACATAGGAGGCCAGTGGATGAAAATGAAGTGCCTCGAAATGCGTGCACACGGGCACGCAAACCGAGGCAATGGCATACGCAATGCAATATGGCATGGAAAATGATATGCAAACATGCTAATGGAATTTCAGCACTTAAATGTGGGGGAAAACAGCCCCGAAATGAGGCGAAAGTACGCCCGATGCATGGAATAGTCCCGAAACATGAATTTTGGCACCCGAAGTGGCCTACAGCTATGCAAAGCATGCACAATATGGACATGCAATGAAAAGACAGAAGCAAGGAAGCCCCAAAATAAGCACTTTTCCAGTTTATACCAAAGCTAAACAGTGAACACAAACAGGGAAAAACTAGCATGCAAAAATGGGGATTAAAAGAGAGATAAAGAAGCAACTCACAGTTTCTGTCCCCAAACAGATTAGGGCCCTTCAACAAAGTTGAAGAGGGGCCCAAAATATGATCTTTTTCAGTTCTGAAAATATCCCAAAAACAAACACAGGTATAGCTACACTCTTATGCAAGAAAAGGGCCAAAAGATGGCCAAAGAAGGAAGTGGTAGATGCAAAGCCCAAACAGAAAAAGACTCTTCTACAATACTAATGAGGGACCAAAAATAAGGCATTTTACAGTTGAGGGCCGGACCCAAAACAGTATGCAAATATGTCAAAAATGCTATGCAAGATAGGGGCCAAAAGAGGTTAAAACACAAAGTATACAAAACATTCATCAAACAGCCAAAGACCCTTAATGAAACATGAATATGGGGTCAGAATAATACTATTTTCAGTTCTGTAAATCGTCCAAAAATGGAAGCAAGATAGGCTAACAAATCATGCAAAAATGGGGATTAAAAGAGAGATACAACACAAAGTATAGGAAGGGTGCCTCAAACAGTGAAGGACCCTTAATGAAACATGAAGAGATGGCCAAAATAAGGCCTTTTCTAGCTCTGTAAAATGACCAAAAACAGAAGCATAAGGGGCTGCCAAGTCATGCAAAAATGGGGACCAAAGATGGGGTATAATGACAAGTGGCAAATGGAAGTCCCAAACAATTATGAGCCCTTCTTAAATGTTGAAGAGGGGCTCAAAATAAGCCTACTTACAGTTTACATCATGCTCCAAAACAGATCACACATAGGCTAAAAATATCATGCAAGAAAATGACATTCAAGGAAGATATTGAAGCAAGTGCAAGATGGGGGGCTCAAACAGGGTTGAGCCCTTAAGAAAAAGTGAAAAAGAGCTCAAAATAAGGCCACTTTCAGTTAGGGCCGAAGCTCAAAACAATAAGCAAGATGGCTAGAGGAATGGTGCAAAAATGAGCTAGAAAAGAGGGAAAGTGGACTTACCCTTGAAGGCCAATGCTTTTGTTGCTTCTTGGACCAACTTTGATGACTCTAAGCTGCTGGAATTCCTCCCCTTGCTGCTGGATTGGAGTGGTGGTGGTAGAGCTTGGTGGTGTAGAAGAAATGGTGGTATAGGACTTGGAGGTTTTTGTTTGAAAGAGAGAGACAGGGGGGGATTTGTGTATCAAGGCTTGAAGACCAATTTTTCTAACCCTTAATACCAATGCTAGCAGCTGGTTATATGGACAAGAAAGAGGGAGCAAAGGGAGGCAAAAGGTGGGGGAAAATGAGGCAAGTTTTCCCCCACAAAATATCCCCCGGATACAGATATTTTCTGGGGGATATAGCTATACAGCTGTAAAGTGTGTGTTGCAAAGAACATGGCCGGCCAGGTTTTGGAGCTGCAGGTGGCCGGCCGGCTACCTTCCATGGCCGGCCGGCCAAGGGTCCAAAAGGTCAAGTTGATTTAATGGCCGGCCACCACTTTTTAGGGTCCTCCCATGTGTGTACAACACAACCCTGTGGTTCAAAATTGGCAACTGTGAAACAGGAGGGACAACAAGCCATTTCTAGGGGGGGTCAAAAGGGTCAAGCAACATTAGTGGCCGGCCACCAACTTTTAGGGTCCTCCCATGTGTGTACATCACAAATATGTGGTTGAAAGTTCAAGAAAGTGGCCCCAGGGTGTTCAACATTGGCCCGGAAGTGAGAAAAACGGGCGTCGGAGGGCGCAGGAGGAATATAACTGGTTGCTGAAACAATTGCTGGCCTCTCACCCTTCTACGGCCTTCCCGGTGATAAAACAGAGGTACCTACCAAAAATGAACAAAAACCGATGCAAAACGAATGCTCGGGGGCCAAAACGCGCAGTTCGGGGCCCCGAAAATGGGTGTTAAGCACCGAAAGTGGGTTTCGACCACGAAGTGGGTTTCTCAGACCTCAGTGTCCCTCAAAAGGGAGCAAATAAGAAGTATGCCAAAAACCGGGGCAAACGGAGATGGTTAGACGGTCCCGAACTGAGGCGCACGGCCAACGGTCCCGAAAAACCGGAAACCGGACTCTGAAATGGGCAAAATGGCCTACGGCCATGAAATGTAGCCCACGGCCATTGAGAGATGGTCTACGGGACCTCTCCCTTCTCTCAGGAAGAAACAGAGAAAACCGAGTCTGGTTCGCAAACCAAGGCAAGGCACAGAAGAGGGTTCGGAAGTCCGGAGACAGGGCTCGCAGCCGCGACTCTGAGACTTCTGAACAAGCACAACATGCAATATCACCGAGTGCTCAAATGGTGACGTCTGAGTCTCAAGGTCGGTCAAAAATGGGGTGTCTACAACAATGCCCGTAATATAGTCATCAATATTCTACAGAATTATGATATGCCAAGTTCTATATGTCAATTCATTTCAAGTCAGTTCATTTCATCTCAATTCATGAGTCACATTCATTATTCTCCGACTACAACTCAGTGGTTGACAATTCAAGACAATCATTATCCAAACACTTTAATTTGTCATTTTACGGAAATTTCGTCTATGGTATCGGCACCTATGTATACGCAATACTTTCGGGACTTTCACCCTAGACACACAGACCAACTTAATTCAATGGAGTCCATCCCCTATCTCCTCCCAAACATTGAGTGCATCCCCTTTCTCCTAGCAAACATCATACATATATAATGTATTGAAACATCGTCATATTCAATGACATCAAAAATAGATTAGTTTCAATTCACCTAATCCTTATGCAACTTCTACAACAATCATAGTTATCCTCTACCGATAGCCCAATACCGATATTTCTAAACAGATATTTAATCTCAGGACAGATAATTCATTCAAATTTTCATAGGTGTGAGGTAATACATATCTAACTCCACCATTTATATCAGCATCTATCCAATTTCACATTTACAATACCAATTTCATTCATTTATACAAAATAAATCTTTGAAGCATTTTAGAGCAAACTTCCCCCTTTTCCAAAAATCAACTCAAATGCCAAAATCGACTGCTTTGTCCCAATATAATCTCATTTTCAAACCCCATAATCATTTATATCACATTTACTAAGAAACCCTTCTTTCAATTTTAAAAATCCCAAACCCTAAGTTTGTCCAAAGTATTCTCAAATCCCACCATAGTTACACAATAGCAAATAACTAAGTTAAAAACCGTATGAAAGTGTAGGAAATCCCTACCTCAAAGAGAGAAGACGAGCAAGGCAAGATGAAACTTCAAAGATGCTCAAACCCAACTCTATTCAGATCAAAATGGAGATCTGGAGATGCTCACTCTTTTTAAAAAAAGGCAAGTGGGTAGAGAGATCACTAGAACTAGGTGAAAATGTAGAGAGAGAGAGAGAGTTTGTGTGTGTGTGTGTTTTAGAGAGAGAAGGTCCTAATCTAGGTTTTTAGGAAAAATAAGTATGAAAAGTGATAAAAAAAAAAGTCACTTTCACGATCTGATATGCGCATAGTCCGCTCGAGTGCAAGAAGTGGCAC